CGCTAAGGGTGTCAAGCTCTGTAGAGACGTTAGTGGATTGCACCTGCTTCGAGGATGACGATACGGACCGGCAATGGCATCATCGAAAGCCTGCTTGGCAAGGTGGCAAGCCTGGTCGGGGGCGTTCAGAATCTCGTAGTAGAAGACGGAGAAGTTCAGGGCGAGGCCGAGGCGAATGGGGTGGGTAGGGGGAAGCTCGGTCTGGGCAACCTCGGTGGCAGCCTTGTAGGCCTCGAGGGACTTGTCGGCAGAGTCCTTGCGGCGATCGCCAACGGCGAACTCGGCAAGGTAGCGGTGGTAGTCACCCTTCCTACAGTGGTTGTCAACATATCGTCCCAATACCGAAATAGACGCGAATGCTTACATCTTGTGGTAGAAGACCTTGGACTCGCCAGACTTGGCAGAAGGGATGAGGTGGGCATCGAGGACATCGAGAATGTCGTCGCAGATCTTGGCAAGCTCGGCCTCGATCTTCTGGCGGTACTCCTTGATAAGGCCAACCTGGGAAGAGTTGCCCTTGGACTCCTCCTTCTGCTCGATGGAGGTGACGATTCTCCACGAGGCACGGCGGGCACCGATGACGTTCTTGTAGGCAACGGACAGGAGGTTGCGCTCCTCGACGGTGAGGTCACGGTCCTCGGAGGCGACGATCTTCATGTTCTCAACCATCTCTGGAAGCCCAATCATCAGTGTAATCCATCTTGTGCGATGAGAGATAGCCACGTACCCTCGTAGCGCTCAGCCTGCTCAGCAAGCTTGGCCAAGTACACAGCATCATCCTGACCCATTGTGGCGGTTGGTATCTGGAACGTTGGGATTGGTTAGCACGTGTATCAGGAGATGAAGCCAAAATTGCGTTCTAAGTGTATTATGAATGTGAATTTTGGACTGGTTGGCAAATAGAAGCGCAAATTGAATTCGCAAGAGCGACGGGGTGAATTCAACGAGAGAAGAACGAGTTGCAGCGTATGCGCCTCGCTGACTTCATGACTTGGCTTCGGCCCCCCGCTCCTGGTGGGGTTTTGCGCCTGACCGATCAAGATAGGGCGCGCAGTGTCGGTGAAGCTCTCAATCGATGCAGAAAGATGGCCGGATGGCAGCTTCGTGAAGCGGTCGACGCAAATCGGTGACAGTCGGTTGTTGGGAATCGGTGGAAGGAGATTGCGGCGAGGGATGCGATGACGACAGAGGGGGCACGGGGGGATGGGGGGAGGGGACCACGTACCTTGGTGCGATGTTTTGAGGTTGGCGGGGATGTTCGAGTGGAACGATGGATAAGTTGTCAATGGAAGATTCCCGTGTCGAAACTCGAGTTGGATCGGAGCAGGGGAAGAGAGCGTGACGAAGGGTAAATAGAGGCGGGTGTGGGCGGTTTTGCAAAGGTAGTGCGAGAGTTTTGTGAAGTTGAGAAATGGATGAGACGAAAAGGTGATGGATGGAAATTGAGGAAGGGGCTCTGGGCTGCACAATACGTGAGGTGGCCCAGGCAAGACAAGGCAAGGCGACTGGACTGACTGGGGGGAAACACGCTGGGGCGGTAGGTAGACGTAAGGTAAGGTAGGCAGGAGGGGGGGGGGTGGCTGCTGCCGCACCGACTGGACTGGACGGGAGCCGACTTGAGTGGTTGACTTCCTGCCAGGTTCCATGGGCACTGGGCAGGGACACACTGGGCTGGTGAGCCACGCTCTGGCCAGTCACGGTCGAGGGGCGTCTCAACCAATCCCCATCTGCGGCGAGCTAGCCCTGGAATGGCCGGCTCACGTGAATCATCCCGGGGTAGCGTCAGGTATTGCGGCTGTGCTCTGCGGCTGAGAGAGGCACCCCTCCAGAGTGGCAGAGCCCCCAAAGTCTTTCCAAACGTACGCATAATGCCTCCAGGGCTCTCCAGACTCTCCGTGCCTGCCTTAGGTACGCTACCAACCTGACTCTGCGACAGATAGTGGGGGGTACGCAGAGGTACATTCTCATACCTCTTTCCGCTCCTTTCTTTGGGTCCAATTCCCCGGGCTCTTTCCACAGGACACCGGGCCTCGCTCAATGCGGTCTTCCTCTCTCATTGCTTGTGGAAGGCCTTGAATCCAGGTACAAATATGATTAAGGCATACCCTATCTAACATGCCTCGCCACAAGTAGCCTGGTTTTGATCCAGGGCCTGCAAGAAGATAACTTCGTATACCAGTTCGCTGCCGCTGACCTTTACTTACCTATCCAGCTCCGACCTTGCTACACCCCGATCACGTCACCTTGTTTGTTGTTGCTTCGCTTTCCATGGCCAAACTCTACCACCAGACTCAGAGTTTTGATCTACTGGGTCATATGCATACTGCGTACTTGCTTTCAAATCATACAACCTGCAAGTTGATGCGAGGCCAGACTCCTCCTGTCTTCTCTCATCCCACCTCGTCTCTTCTTTTCATGCAATCGCCGAGCGGCCACCGTGCCCCAATTCATCCTTTGAGTTCAGGCACTTATTCCGTTGTTTGGTCACATTGGATTGACTTGCCTGACCCCAAGGTCTTTGAAAGCAAAACATCTTACTTCACGTCAATGTAGGTTGCATGCTGCTGTTCGTAGCCGGGACCCCTTGAACCAAGAAGGTGTGTTTCCTCGGTTGCCGTTGCCTGACTTAGCAGAGGGGATGGCACGAGATTTGGGAAGAAAGAGGCTATCCTTTCCTCTTCCTCACTAGCAGTCTGAAGCCATGAAGCCATCTCAGGTTTTGCCCAGGCAGCACTTATACACACGGCGTATGGGTTCTCTGTGGTCTGCAGAGGGCAGACGTTCTCCTCTCCACTAAATGGTACCTCGGGCTGCGAGACAAAGACGGAAGACGTCGCACCACGATGACTACACACCACCGGCACCCCATCGGTCGCCTTTGAAGCGACAGATCTCCCGCATTTCTCGTCCACAGTCCCGGGGACCATCCCAGTCGAAAAAGGAGATTCAGCCTTGCCGGAGATAACAACAAGGGCTGATAAGGCTGCGACCTACGGAGTATCTACGGGCTTACGGATATCTGGAGAATGCAACTCACTGTGGAATACTGGACCTACGAGAATCATCGGAATGGAGATATGCGAGTCCCATTTTATGCATAAGCCGTCTCGGAGCAACAACACCGGCAGACCGGGTAAAACACCACACGCCTAATTCGCAGCCCTTGGTGGGTGCTCATAGATTCTTGCAGTTCAGTCCCAGCAAAAGGATAGCGTCTAGCATAGTTAAACGGTGCCCAGAATATGGAGGCAAATTGTTGTGTTGCGTGTTGGTCAGGACGGGATTATGCGGATGCTCACAATTGCATCAAAGCTTCATCGACTGCTTGGCCCATCTTGAGTACTGCGTACAGCAAGCACATTGAGTCAGGACGATTTGGCCGCATGCAGGTGACCACCACTCAGTGGCCTGAGGAAAGCACACTCAGGCAACCTCAGCGCAGCTCTCCGGTTCAGTGAACCAAACCCGTCGAAGCCGAGAAATGCCGGCACGATCATGTTAACGAGATACCTCGCTTACGCCGGGTATGACGTATCACATCCTCGTACCCCCATAGTCGGGTGAAGAAGGACAGACCGGAGTAAGCAGAAGCTCCCTCCCCCGACCAAGAAAGTGACCAGGCACTCCGTAGTTTGACAGGATCAGATCATCCCCTCCTCGTCCAATAAGCTCCCAAGCAGCATAGCAGCGTAGCCCCCCTTCCCCGAGCAGGAGCTATTCCAGGCATTACCAGCACCCAGATCCCCACAATCCAACCTATCACAAAACCCGTCCGACTTGCACCATCGTCATCGGCCAACTTGCTTCACTACAAAAACATAAACACCTCCAATTGGAATCCCCAAAACCCCTCGAGCACCCTCTAGATATTTCTTTCAAAATGATGCGCATCGCTGCTACCAAGGCCGCGGCCCGCCCCCTCACTCTCGCCTCGAGAGCTTGCTTCAGCACCACTGCTCGCACTATGAGCGAGGGCGACACTGGAGCTCCCTCCAAGTACGGAGGCGGGTAAGTCTTCGCTCCTCCTCTCACTCTCTCTCTCTCTCTCTCTCTCTCTCTCTCGCAGCCCCCTTCCGCACAAACGCAGTCGTTCCCATGACCCATTGTCATTATCGACAGCTCGAAAAGCGAGGCTGCAATCGACAGCGAACAGATCCAAAGAATGGAAACGAGCACAAAGGCTGACAATTTGCCCAACACAGTGACGCCTTCCAGAAGCGCGAAAAGGCCAACGAGGACTACGCCATCCGCCAGCGCGAGAAGGAGAAGCTCCTCGAGCTCAAAAAGAAGCTCAGCGAGCAGCAGGCCCATCTCCAGCAGCTGTCTGACCACATGTTCGTCCACCACCTTTCATCCTTCCACCCCTTTCCACCTTTTCCCCCTTCCAAACCCGCCCCATCCGCGTGCAATGACGTCGACTTTGTACATTTGCTAACAACGGCACCCAAAACAGTGACGAGATCACCAAAAACCAGGGTGGCGAGCACAACTAAATTCAAAATCATAAAGATGCAATTTCCCCCCCGCTTCACGGAGGAGGTCTTTTCAAAGCGATAATACCAAATGGAGAGGATTGGCTCAGGGAAAGCCGGACAAATGTACTAAATCTGAAAGGGGAAAGCAGAGACTGATGATGGTCCGCGTAAACGCGAGCAAACGTCTGAATTTTGAAGCTTTTCAATCTCATGTAAACCATTCAAGAAACAAACACCTGGTATTCACCCACAAGTTCTATGCTACTGTACAACGTACTCTTTGTGTTGCTCAATGCATTACCACCTTTGCGGTGCCGAATCCATCCAACTCAACTGTTGCTAAGCGACCCATCTCTGTTCAAGAAAGACCACCTCAAATTGAGCGATTAATGACAACCAACCCCCGAACCTGAGTTGTCTTTCATTGTTGCATGTCCTAGCCCCTTGTCTCTCGTAACCTATGCTGCCTAGCAAAAAAAAAAACCAAACTCTACACGAACCCTTTACCGTGTGTCCTGACCTTCATCAACGCCGGCCCATGTAAGATCGGTAAAAGCTCTCTGCAGCGTCGTTCTCCGGCGCTCCGTATTGGCTTCCCAGGTTGTTGTTCGCCTTCTGCGCGGATGAGACCTTGGCCTGCAGAGATGCGGCGTTGGAGTCGATCCATTGGAGCTGGCCGAGATGACCATTGAGAACGCGAACAATCTGGCTCAACTGTAGATGAGAAGGTCAGCTTTGCAGGTGCAACATGTGAGGAAAAATCAATATCACTTACGGGATCCTCAGGCTTGGTGCCCTTGCTAAGAGTACCAGAAATGTCGTTGATCTCCTTAACCATCTTTGACAGGTCTCTACTCTTCTCGTCAAGGTTCTGTGTGAGCTTCTCGGCAAGCTTGTATGTCCGCTCGCGCTCCTGGTCGGGTCCGGCAAGGGTCTCGCCCTGTCCCATCTGGCGGGAGAACATCTCCTTGACGTCGGCCTCGTAACGGTTCAGCCAGTCCTCAAGCTCATCCTGCTGGCTCTCGACGGCTTGAAGTTGGCGCTCAATCTCGTGACTCGCCTTCTCGGCCTCGAAGGTGTTGAGGTAGAGCTTCTGAATCTTCTCGCCGTTGTCGACCAGGCCCAGATCCCAGTCGGCGACCTGGTTGGCGTAGTGCTTGAAGTCCTTCTGGTATTTGGACAAATCAGAAGCCCACCGTGTAATGATGTCGTCCATGGACTTGTTCTTCAGGCGAGGAAGCTGGGATGTGGGGCCAGTGGTGGAGGCAGCGAGGGTATTTGAGTTGCCGGTTGTGGCAGATGTGGTGGCGGGCGTAGTGCCATTCTGAGCTGATGTTCCAGCTGCCGGGGTAGCTGCTGGCTTAGCTCCGAAAAGACCACCAGCTGCAGCCGTTGTGCTGGGCGCGGCAGCTGATGTGGTTGTAGCGGCGGTAGTCGCAGTCGCCGCAGGGGTAGAAGCTGGCTGAGAGGTGCCAGCTGCAGGTGTAGCTCCAAAGAGTCCTCCGCTCGCAGGCTTGCTCGCAGGTGTAGCTGCGGCCGCACCACCAAACAGTGACGAAGGTGCCGCTGCGGTGGTGGGAGTAGAGGCTGAGGGTGCAGCAGGCTTCGCGCCGCCAAACAGACCTCCAGTACTTGCGCCAGCCTGTGTCGTGGCAGCTGCTGGCGTCGAAGATGTGTTGCCGCCAAACAGACCACCGGCGGGGGCCGCAGCTGGTGTTGAGGTTGTAGGAGTGGCAGGCTTTGCGCCGCCAAAGAGTCCACCGCCGGCAGCGGGAGCAGCGGCAGAAGTGGAAGCCGGCTGTGCTGAGGTAGCGGTGGCAGCGCCTTGGCCGAAAAGACCACCGGAGCTAGGAGCGGCGGCAGCAGCAGGTTTTGAGCCTCCGAATAGACCACCGGCCGCAGCAGGCTGCTGTGGTGTTTGACCGCCGAAAAGACCACCGGCACTGGCTGGCTGCGCTGTAGATGCAACCTGGGACTGAGCCGCACCACCAAAGAGGCTACCGCTGGCGGGAGGTTTGGCCGTCGAAGCAGCCGTAGCCGGTGCGGCGCCGGCCGCAGCAGATCCAGACGCCGCAGCAGCTCCAAACAAGCCTCCAGTAGCTGGCTTCTTGTCAGCAGGCGGAGCTCCGGCTGGTGTGGTAGATCCTCCTAGAGAGAACATAGGCTTTGCGGGAGTGGCCTGGGTTGCTGGAGCACCGGCGGGTGTGCTTGAGGCGGCCTTGTTACCAAACAGACCTCCAGCTGCGGCAGGAGCGGGTGTGGTCGACGCGCCCGCTGCGGCATTCTGACCGAACAAGCCTCCAGTGGGAGCAGGACTGGCAGTGTTTCCACCGCCGAAGAGACCTCCAGCTGGCTTCGCCGCCGCACCTCCTCCGAAAAGACCTCCTGACGATGCGGCCGGTGTGCCGGTCGAGGCAGCGGCACCGCCACCAAAGAGCCCTCCAGTAGGCGTGGATGTGCCAGGTGTAGAAGCACCGGCTCCTCCAAACAAGCCGCCAGATGCGGGAGTCGAAGAAGCACCGGCAGCGGGCTTGGCGCCAAAGAGACCTCCTCCAGCCGATCCAGGCGTTCCTGCAGCAGCGGCCGGCGTGCCACCGCCAAAGAGTCCGCCTGCTGGTTTCTGTGCAGTGTTCTGTCCGAAGAGACCTCCGCCTGAAGCCGGTGTGCTGGCGGTCGATCCAGCTGCCGCTCCTCCAGATCCTAGGTTGCCGAAGGAAAAGCTGGGAGTGCCGCTGGAGGCAGCAGCGCCGCCGAAGAGACCTCCAGATGCGGGCGCAGAGGTTGCCGGGGTCGAGCCGCTGTTCGACGTCGGCGTAGCTGTGTTACCAAAGCTGAATGACATTGTGTGGAAGATTCGCGAATCGATTGGGGCCTGTCGAGATGAAGCCTAACGGAGTCTCGCAAGCTATGTGCGAGCTAGTGACAACAAGCTGATGTCTGGACAATCGTATTTCGTTCGGTTCAGTGTCGTCGCATTGAGGTGCGAATCGACCCCCTAAAGCTCTGTTGTTCGTCGATGAAGCAATCGTATCTGGCTCGTAGATATGCGCTGACTCGTCGCGACGTGTGGTTGCTACCGGCTGTTGGGGGGAGCTGCAACTGGTGTTGATGGTTGACAGCTTTTTTTTGTGATGCTCCAGCCTTTCAGGCCTTGCCTCCACGCGACTGGCGCGCTGCACCTGCCCAAAGACCCAGGACCAGGGACAGGCTGCCTATCAAGTACTAGCGCGAAATTAACCGGGGTGTGCCCCACGTGATGCTTGGCGGGCGAGTCTAGAAGCTGCAAGAGGTGCTTGAGCCTTGATAGGTACCGTCTGCGAGCCTGCTTTTCTTATGCCACCCAGCCCAAGAGCCTGAAAGTCGCTTCCATTCTTTCTCGTCGTCTTTGTGTCAACAAGCCCTTGCCTAAGCTTAATTCTTCAAAAGTTGCGGTTGCCCTCAAATCATCGATTTGGGGATATCGTTCTTGCTAGTTGCTACCTACTTATACCTATTCGGCCCACACAATTACGTATCCGCTAATCGACAGGCTCCCCCTCCACTGCCCACTCCTATTCTCTCCCACCATCGATAACTCCCTAAGCTGCCTCAGCTTGTTGTAACCTCAAGAAACATTGCCCTATTATTCCTACAGCTCTCAATTGGGCTCACAACGGAACCATGTCAGACGACGAGGCTCTTTCACCGCCGAAACGGTCTGGAACTAGCGACCCTGGCGCACACGATCTGGGTAAGCAACCCCCACCCCTTGTCAATGTCTCCCTTGATGATCGTGCAGCCGTTTTTGTCTAACAATCTGCAGCCAACGCCTCCGACTCAGAAGACCACTTCTCCGATGCGCAATCCGCTCCCCTCAGCCCCGGAACGTCTCCGATTCCCAAAACCCGCGTAGAGAAAGTCGACGATGAACCGTCGTACGGCGAGGTCCCCGGAACAGAGGCGTACCGCTTGAGGGAGGGTGATGCTGAGCCGGACGAGATTGCTATCCAGGAGAAGAACAGCAGCGAGGCGTCGTCGACGGCAGACAGTGCGCCCAAGTCGCCAGTCATTCCCAAGACTGTCGTCGAGGAGGCCCCGGGCGATTCAGGGCCGCACTCAGAGGAGTTCTTGGAGAAGCGCAAGGCAGATGCCCCAGCCGACTTGATTGTCAAGCCTGACGGCGAGACTGAAGAGGGTGGCAGTTCCGGTACGATGTAGAGATCCCTGAAATTCAAAGAGCATTTTGTCGTTGACCTGGCGTCATTCTTCGTAGATCTCCCCCCTGTATCACCTGCGCTATCAACACCAAGCTCGCCTCGTATAAAGCGGCAACCCTCCAGAACGGCACTCTCGTCTGCTCCGTCCAGCGCCGGCCTTGCGCCTCCTCCCGATGCAGCTGACAACGATGACGAGGAAGGAGAGGACGCTGAAGGCGGAGACGAGGATGATGATGACTTTGGTGACGATTTCGACGACTTTGAAGAGGGTGCTGAGGCCGACGGTGACTTTGACGACTTTGAAGATGGATTCCAAGAACCCGAGTTCCAAGCTCCAGCTCCGGCTCCAGCGCCCAGCTTACCACAAGTACCAGCACTGCCTTTCGTAAGCACATTGCTATTCCAAGTTCGTTTGACTGTTCTAACACCTCAATCCAGGATATACCAGACTTTGACGGCTTGGACGGCGAAGACGTCCTACAAGCCGTCGACCCATACCTCAACACCCTCTTTCCCCCAGAGAGCCTAGACGTCAGCTCTCCGCCACCGTTAACGAAAGAAAACCCCATCTTCATTACACCGCGTAGTGCGTCACTGTGGTCGCAGCTGGTGGCACCTCCGCCGCTGGCTCCCCCAGATTGGATCCGCTCGCGAATCCGCCGTCTCTTTCTCGTCTCCTTAGGCGTGCCGGTCGATCTGGACGAGATCCTCCCGGCCTCCAAGCAAAAGAAGCTCGTGCTGCCTTCATTACAAGTCCCCTCCGGCTCCCCGCGGACATCATCAGATTCTCGATCCGTATCACGGGTGCGGGCCGAGGCAAACGCGTCGTCGACGTCTGTCGACTCAAAAGGTAAACCGACGGCGTCATCCAAGAGGAAGGGACCGCCGCCAGTGCCGGACCTGGACCTCGTATCGGCCAAGCAGCTCTGCACGACGACGGACGAGGCCCTGAACGGCATGACGGACGACGAGCTTAAGGCGCACGTGGATAGGCTAAAGGCGATGGAGGAAACGGCCAAGGAGGTATTGGAGTACTGGACCAAGAAGACGGACGAAAAGATAGGCGACAGAGAGGCCTTTGAAGGCGTGATAGAAAACCTGGTCAAGCATGCACGCAAAGTCAGGAAATAGAAAACTAATAGAAAGGTTAAAAGGGGCTCATTCATCGTCCAGGCCTATTTATCAGCATACACCGTCTAGCTTTTTCTTGTACGTTGTGTTTTTCTTTCCCTCGCGAATTCTCCGCCATCAAATGGGACCCTGAATCTCTGGACCTTTCAGTTTCGCGAATTTCGAGTGTCTCTCTCTTCTGGTCATTTTGAATTTACGCGGTAAGTTGGTGACCTTGTTCATGTGCATTCATTACCCGCCTGGTACTCAAAAACTTTGCCAGATCCGCGCGCCCCCGCCCCTCCCATTCGGCTCTCTACCAGACTGACTGATTGTTTTTTAGACTCCTGTGATGCTGAAGAATGGGCTTTTGAGACTTTGTGTTTTTTGATTTGATTTGGGTCGGTTGTCGATTTAAGACGAGCTGGGCTCGAGAGTGACACCACTGTAGAAACGTCAGCTTTCTTTTGCAACTTGATTGTATGAACATAGGAGGTATAAACTTACGCAGCGATGGTGGCCCAACCAATCAGACGCCAATGCTTCTCAATACGACGGGACAGAGCGACCTTCTCGCCAATGTTTGTGCAGGCAGGGGAGGTAAGGACGAGCTTGGCGGCATCGTTCTTGATGGCGGCAACCTTGGCACCGGTGGACGTGGAACCAATGTTGACCATGATGACCTCGTTCTTGGTGAGCTTGGCGACCTTGGCCTGCTTGCCGTCGGCGGTGCGGACACCGAGGAGGCGGCGCAGGAGGTAGAAGTTGACCTCGATCTCGCTGTAGATCTCGGGCAGGCGTCCCTTGAGACCCAGGACGAAACCGACGAGACGATCGGCTCTGCAGAGGGTGGGGTCGATGCGGGTACCGACACCGATGAGACCACCGGGAACGGCGTACTTGAGGTCGTTGAACTCGGAGTTGAGGGAGACAATTCTGCTGAAGATGGGAGTGCACTTGAGGGCACCCTTGTCATCTCTCGTGACGATACCGGGACGGATCTCGATCTCGTCGCCGAGCTTGAGGACACCGTGCAGAATGGAGCCACCAGCGACACCTCCCTTGAGGTCGTCAATCTCAGCACCGGGCTTGTTGACGTCGAAAGATCGAATGACGATCATGTGGGGGTCTTGGGTGAAGTCACGAGGGGGCACGGGGATAGTGTTGACGATGGCCTCGTTGACGGCGTCGATGTTGAACTTGAGCTGGGCAGAGATGGGGATGACGGGAGACTTTCCGGCAACGGTACCTCTGATGAACTTCAGGATGGACTGGTAGTGTTGCTGGGCGGCCTCCTCGCGCATAAGATCGACCTTGTTCTGGAGGATAATGATCTTATCCAGCTTCATAATCTCAATGGCAGCCAAGTGCTCAGAGGTCTGGGGCTGAGGGCAGGTTTCGTTGCCGGCAATGAGCAGCAGGGCGGCGTCCATGACGGCGGCACCTGACAACATGGTGCTCATGAGAATGTCGTGACCGGGGCAATCGACGAAGCTAAGTGGAGATATGGTATTAGCCACGAGTCCTTGCGATTCACAATTCCGGGGTAAGCTCTCTCTCTAAGCTTCAGCTACTTACGAAACGTGGCGCAATAATCTGTAGGTACCGCTGCAGCCCTCGCGCTCGCAAGGAGGGTCGACCTCCTTCTCACTCTTGTAACTCCTGAAGCATCCCGGCCGAGGGCACTCCTGGTTGTCGCACTGGTAGATCTTTGCGTTGGCGTAACCAAGCTTGATGGTAATGTTACGGATCAGCTCGTTCTTGAAACGAACGGTCTGGACGCCGGAGATGGCCTTGACGACGGTAGACTTTCCGTGGGCGACATGGCCGATGGTACCGATGTTGATTGTTGCTTGGCGAGCGATAATCTCGGGGGTGAGGGGGCTGAGGGTCTTGACGTCGAGGTCTTTGGGATCGGTTTGCGGGGGCAGAGCAGGGCGCTGAACTGTGGTGTCGGCGGTAACGGGGTTGGAGGACTTCTTGAGGGCGGGCTTGAGAGTCTTCTCCTCGTTGAGCTCGGTCTGCTCCTCGACAGACTCGCCAGAGTCGGACTCCGACTCGATGTCGTCGTACTTGTTATCGCCGTTGGCAGACATTGTCGCGACGGGGTGTGAGTGGATGGCGGGGTAAATTCGTCTAGGTTGACTTGTGACGGGTCGGGGGACGTCGTACTTCTTTCTCGAAGTTAGATCGTCTGATGAGTGAACAGGTGATTAGGTGTAGGTATTCGACGGTACCGGAGAGGGAGGATGGGGCCTCTTGTTCGTGGGTTTCGTGACGTCGAGGTTGATCCGTGAAATTTGCTTCCGATGAGTAACAACCTGGAATTTACCTCGCTGAGGGTCGATTCGAATTCTGTGGTCAAAGTCAACGCTAACCTGTTTGGGACTGATAAGCTGATAAGTGCCCCGCCTGGCCTTTGCCCGCCCAACCCTGCTGCCCTCTGCTCTATTACCTTACCTTACCTAGCACGCCTAGTATCTTTCCTGCCTGGGGAAAGAACAGAGTTGGTGATAGCATCATGCAAAATTAGTCA